GACCATTGGGAAGGATGTAAGGAGTAGGTGGCCTTTGCTTAGAACCTGTGTGCAGAGAAATAATTTAACAGGAACTGCATTATTTTAGTGCAGTTTTTTATTTAAAACATTGTATGGAAATGATTGTATGGTTTGGAGTATTCTGTTCACTCCTTTCCCTTCTTCAGATATCGAAAACCAGATCAAATACTAATTACTGGCTACAAAGGACAAAATCCAAGTTGGAGCCAGTAACTGGTCAAGGCTGCAGTGTTCAGAGGCAGAGGCTGGAATCCTACCTGGCTCTTCAGACCTTTTTTTAACAGCGCTTCTACTGAAGGAGGAATTTGAGATCCCCTGATATATCCTCTGCCCTTAACACCCAGATGTATTTTGTGGGTTAGGGTTTTTTATCCCGTTTTTCCTCCAGGAAACAGTAGTCATTGTTAGAATAAGTAGGAATGTACATGTTGTACTTTTTGTGGCAGGGTGGATTTTGGTATAGTTCTTTCTGATCGTTGTGATCTACCGTTGAGGCAAAGCGACTGGTGCTCTTGTTAATAGATCCTTTGGGGTGGAGTACAGTGAAGTGACACTGACTGATCAGTGTTTATGTATGACAGGTTTATTTTAGAACAGTCTGGTTGCAATGGAAAGGAGGTGTGTAGCTGTTTTAGTTATTATCTATAGAAATATGGCAATATAAAGTATAAAATGCCACTTAAGGTATAAGGAAAAGATAAAGGATAAGCATAGACAGTGGAGAGGAAAGATCTCACTACAGTGGATCCAGCAGTGAGACTTGATTGATGCAATTTTAATGTCCCTTGGTCGAAGTAATGGTCATAGCCTTGATCCATCGGGGTGGGGGTGCCCACACACAGTGGGTTCATGTATATTCAAGTTCAGGTGGGAACACCCAGGTATTTCCCCTGGGCAAGGAGTTTTACATTGTCTGATGCAACACTGTGGACCGTGTACAGTGCACTGGTAGAAGGCCCCAGAAATGAGTCTAGGGGTGCCTAGGGGGGTCTTTGACGGTTTATGACTTCTTCTAAGGCACTAAGACACAATGCCACTTGTGCCTTCTCAGAAGGGATGATTTTCTTCAGGCTACATGTGAATGTCCTGATACCTCCTCCAGGGCTGGAGGTTTACATCTGAGCCAGTTGTGAAAAGAGGACATTGGCATGATAAAAAACATTATCCCACCTCACAGGATCTGCTTCATTTCCCCTTGTCTGGTTCAAAGAACAGCTTGTTGCTATTCAAAGGTGGGCTTTTTCAGTCATGCTCTGGTGGTGGGTGCACACCCCCTCTGCTTCTAGGCTGTGCTTATGCAGATCAGAGGTTCACCACCACACACCCAAAAACTCTTCTTCTCCCCTTCAGCTGTGGGATGCAAACCTGGTCCCAGCAAAGCACCTGTAGCCTTTTAAAAAGGTTGATTGTTTGAGTGATTAACCTATAACATTTCAGTCCCTCACACTGATTTTCCTGCTTTGAAGTGCAAGTTCATTAGGCTCTGAGCTGTTCAGGTTTGATCCTACCAGGTATTACTATAGGCTAAAACTATTTCCAAGGAGCCCTTTTCCAGAATTCAGCAGTGGAGAGCCCCATTTCTGTTGCTTTTAACTCAGTTATTTATAGAGTCCTGCTTACCATAGCAGTAAAAGTCATGATTTCTGAGTTGCAGGTAGCCAGGCTGGGATTTTCTTGGCAGAAACTCACCTATTCATACATCTACAAAGTTTATGTCATACATTTAATTTGGTTCTTACCTTGAGACTGGCTTTCTCATCTTGTGTGCAACTTTGGTAGTGTAGCCACTCATGCCACCAGCCTTCTTCAGCCTTAAGACAGCATTTCCACTTACTTATCCTTGGAGCATTTCCCCTGGGACCATCAATGGAGGGGGGAAGGGAGGAAAGTGAGTAACTCTTTCAATCAGCCATCCTAAAAATAGCCCTTCCAGAGGTGAGGTCTCAGAATTTCCAGTCAGAGGTAACACAGATTGTTTGAAATAATTTCACATGCAAGGACCAGGAAGGGAGGAAGGAGAGACAGAGATTTGGCTCAAAAGCTAGTGAAACAAAAAAGTCTAATGGCTTGGTGCCGCTCCAGTAAGTAGGAAGATTATTCTTCCACAGGATTTCTCCATGTTAATTGGTTAAAAAAAATGTTTTTGTCTCTACATGCCGAGGACTGTGGAGTCTTCCTTCCACTCCGGTCACTGCCCAGGTTTCAGGAGGTACTTCTTCCCTTCCAGCTTCCTGTCAGTCTTGGACAAGAGCCCTAGACAGTGTTAAACTCCTGTGCATGTAGCCAGGTGAGAAAGATGGTCTACATCCTGCAGCTTTGCAGAGGTGGTGAATTACTTCCTTCCTATGTCTTTCACTTGCCAGCTACAAACTCCACTGACTCATTGCCTCAATGAGCTTTGACCTGTGTGACCACTAGTTTGGAATTTGGTTTCCTTTGGTAGGTCAGGTGCTGTGTTCTTGTCATTAAGATTATTCCATTTGAATTAGCAGGTACTTGTGTCAAACAGAGTGAAAATGAAGGGTAAACTCTCAATTTTCAAGGGCCTGGTAGTTTTAGTGGTCAGGTTTTTATAGATTAATTTTTCTTGTGTTTTTTTAATCCTTTCTTATGTGTAGTAGCTGCTGTCATATATACCTCAGCCACTGAAAACATGAAAATAATGAAATGCTGTGGAACTTACAAGATTTATGCCCCACTGTCTAATGGAGTGACTGAATGAGATACATATTTTGAAAATGCTGCATTCCTAGCACAGGGATTCTGAAATTTAATCTGCTCATGTGTCACTAGTGGCAGTTGCTACTGGTTTAGTGCCATCCCAGCCATGTACACAGTTCTTGCACCATCAGACAGGTTTTCCATGCTGGTAAAACATGATCACTACATGGATGATGCCTTTATTGAAGGTTGGGCACCTCTGATTTTTAGAATTAGGGTTGGGATTTATTTTTGGAAGAACTGCAGTAGCGTAGTATTTCCTTGAGGCTGAAGATGTTTCAGGGAGGGAGTAAAGCTGAGGAAGTTCTCTTGCCTGAGCACCCAGTGACTGCCATTGGGAAGGTGTCATTTTCCAGAAAAAGTAATACATTATTGCAAAGTGCTTACTCCACGCAGTTTCCTTGCCTGTCCTTCCAATAAGGTGTTTCAGACTGTGTAACAGGAGACAGCATTCATGTTTAAAAGACTTACAGGTTGCGAAAGACCGTTACTGCATGAAGGATCTCAGCAAAGCAGTCAGTTCCATTCCTGTTGGATTTAAACACATAGTTCCATGCATTGGATTAAATCAGATGGTAAGCAGTTTGCCACGTTATATAGGTTGCCTTTAATGTAGTAAATTAAAGCAAGATTTCAGAGACTTCCTGGGCAGTTATTTGGGTTTGATTTATACCATCATGTGGAATTCTGGAAACTCTGCAGTGGGTAAGTATGAAGTCTTAAGTGAAAACATTGTTTCTTAGCAGTGTTTTGATTTAGCAAAAATGACACTTTCTTTTCTATATACTTGAGCAGTTGATTAAAATGTGAGAGATAGTTGTCATTTTAATGTAAAATTCAAACTTTTTTCATCCTCTGAAATGCGTAAATAACTGTATTAAAGAGACAAAATTTTCATTTCATCTGATGCTGCTTCATAGTGTCAAACAAATAAAGGCCACAGGATGCTTATATGTATGGACTAGTTAGAGAGTTGGAAGATGTGTTACATCTAAGATAAATTGGCTTTTCTACAGTGACAGTCCAAATGACAAGGCAGTGGGTGAGGGAGTGTTTTATTCATACCAGAACTTCACAGAGAACAGTTTTCATATTCTTAGTGGCTTTGTGGCAAAACTTCATCTTCCTTTCAGGAATTGAATGTCCTCTGTAGATCCATATCTGAAGGGAGTTGTCACAGTGGGGAGTTAGCTCTTTGATACAGGCTCTCTTGGCACTCTTCCTTCCCTTTGAGCTTTTGGTGTGGAGACTGCAGTGATCTTACCCTAAGATAACACTTACTAAAGTTTATTTCTCAAGTAATCTTTAATCTCAAGAAAATGTCTAGAGTGACAGGCCCAAGGCAATGACAGGTTTGTGTAATAGTGCAGGGAATGGCCTGTGCGTTCCCAAAGCTTTCTTAAAAGGAATGTGAAGATCTTCACAGAGCCATCACAGGATAACTTCTGTTATAGGCTCTTTCTAATGCTTCTCCTTCATTATTTGACATGAGACATCTGTATTCAAGTTTCTTTTTTGTTTTGAGGTTTGTTTCACAGTATGAAAGCTGATCTAAATTAATTCTGCATACAAATTTTTACAAACAAGTTAAGCCAAAATTTTGTACCTGTGACTGTCTTTGGTATCAAGTCATGCAAACCCTTTGGTATCATATCATTCCAACCAGAAAACATAATTCATCTCAAGCTAGTTAGAAAGTTGGCCTGTGTTTTTCTTTTTATCACAGAGAGACTGTATGATAAGGGCTTGGAATGGACCTTAGAGATCACCCAATGCCAACCCCCTGCCCTGGGCAGGAACACCTCCTACCAAAGCAGGTTACCTTATCCAACCTGGCTGTGAACACTGCCAGGGTTGGGGCAGCCACAGCCTCCCTGGGCAACCTGGGCCAGTGTCTCACCACCCTCACAGGAAAAAATGTCTTCTAATACCTAATCTAAATTTCCCTCTTTCAATTTATCCCCATTACTCCTAGTCCTGTCACTGCAGCTCCTAACACAGAGTCCCTCTGCAGCTTCCCTGGAGCCCCTTCAGATCCTGGAAGGTTCTATGACATCCCCACACAACCTTGTCTTTTCCAGGCTGGACAACCCCAACCTCCTCAGCCTGTCTTGGTAGGGAAGGTGCTCCAGTCCTCTTATGCGTGTCTTGGAATGCCTCTGTTGAACCTGGGCCACAGTTCACATTCACTGAAAGCCACTTGGAAAACTAATGTACAGAGGTCACTTCAAAGCAAAATTGGGTTACTAAAATGACCCTAAAAATATTCCTATGTCTAAAGATTGTCACATTTGCGGAATGAAGTGGTTACTTAAAATGACTCATGTGTATATAAATGGTCACAACACAGTCTTTTCTCTCATGCTTTTCTTCCTGCTTAGATTGCTTCCTTTCCAGTTTGCTCCGCTGTGCTTCACACCTCTAACAATGCAGTCATTCTCATTGCTTCAGCCCTTCTTTCTCCTTCCAGCTGGTTCTTTGAAAGCACTCTGTTCTCTCAGACCTAGTGCCAAGTGCCCTAGCAGTCTCACACAGCAACACATTTATCAACTTGATGACGTCTCACTTTGTATGTATTGACATAAAAAATTACTGAAGTGTTCAGAGACCACTACTGTCAGTTAGCAGAAGTGTTTGAATGGATCAGCATTTGATTGCATTTGAAGAGCTTGGCCAAAATTCTTCTGATTAGAGTATCGGAAGGTCAGAAAGCAGTCAGATCTGAAAGGCAATGTTTCTGTGGTCGCAAGAAACCCAGAGCTGTCCTGCTTGGCTGCTGTAGCATCCTTCTTCCTTCAGCTCAAAAGCAGGATGTGTATTTTGGTATTGCTTTGTAGCTGTTCTGTGTTTCTTAGATGTGCCATTTAAAGGAAATCCCATCCTGCTGTCACACACTCTGCAGCCTGAAGTGGTGCACCACATGTGTATATAAGGAAAACCTCCATTAGGTGGCAAACAAAATCATTTGCAGTATGCAAACACCAGCAATAGTCTATTTGGTCTGATTTGAATTACAGCTTCTTTTCAGAAAAGGCCATTTCCCATTTCTAAAACAATATGTGTAAGTGCCTGCTGATTATCCTATGTCCTTTCCTGTTTGGACAGATATTGATGAATGCAGCAGCATCCCAGGAGTTTGTGAAGGTGGTGTGTGCTCGAACACTGTGGGAAGTTACTTCTGCATCTGCCCACGAGGTTATGTCGCATCTGTGGATGGATCCTGCACTGTGGGTAGGTACTCCACACCGCAGGCTTTTAGAGGTCTCGAGGTTATTAAGGCAGTTTATACACAGCAGCAGCAGCAGCAGCATTATTTCTGTCCTGGCCATCTGGCACTTCGCCCCATGCCCCAGGGCCTCAACTCTATGCTAAATCACTAGTATCTGTGATGCAGCTGCTTAAATTTCATGGCATCCTCCTGTGATGATGACTGCCACTAGAACCACCTTCATGTAGGCAGCAGATCCCTCTGTGTTGCCTGTATTGCAGTCTGAGATCTGGATCGTCTGAGGGAAAAAAGCAATTGGTATCCCTCTGTTATCTAGGCAAACATAGGAAATTTTAATTGTACTTCTTTCTTAAACCCTAATCTGATGAACCCAAAAGTTAAGCTCACTTTGGTCCTAAAGGAGCAAACATGTATCCTTACTTGGTGCTTAAAGTTCCATCTCAGGTAGGTTAGTTTAACCTCTAGAGACCAATATAAGGCACAAATATAGACTTCAAAAGCATTAAATAGCGTATGCTGATGTGCCACTAATTTTAGAGAAACAGATAATGTAATAAAAGAATCCAAGTGCTGGATTTCAATAGATTGCATCTTTTGCAGGACAATTTACTTAAAAGCTATCCCTGTATTATAAAAAAAAATATAATGCTTATTTCCATGTGTGGTAATTTCTTTTATACAGCTGCATGTGTCAAATACATGATGTAAACCATTCTCATGCCATTCATTGAAACCATTTAAAATTGCTAAGATTAATGTCTTTTCTAGATCTCATATGGTTCTTCTTATTTAAGACACCTCAAAGGAATTTTTTCTCATGTTGGGGAAGGGATGTGCATTCTGAAGGGATTTCTGAATCGCAGATAAATGACCTATGAGTGATTTCAAATGAATGATTTTTTAAGCAATGGTAGCTTCTGTTATGCAGAAGCATCTGAGGAGTGCCAACTTTGAAGGTAGTATGGCTGACCTTAGGAATACTGAAAACCTGTGATTTCCCATATGATCAGTATTTCTGTGGATCTTGTCATGTTTTGCAATCTGATTTCTAAGGGCAGCTCTCGCCACTTGCACAGAAATCATGTGTCCTAGTTCTAAGGCAAACCCTTATCTTAGAGAGTCTCCTTCCCTTAAAAGAAAATGTTTCTGAAAGCTCTTGTGCTCTCAAAAGTTTATCATAGTGGAGTATAATTAATACACTCTAGATGTATAATTTCTCCTTTACTTAGGAGAAAAGTGAAGGATGTGAACCTTATTAATATAAGTTATTTTAATTTTCCTAGTTTAGGATAAATATTTGCTTTCAACCAAAGTATCAGGATCTGCCCAGTTACTATAATTAGTACCATGTCTTTCTGAACTCATTGAGCTTTTCTCCCAGTCAACATTCAAGAGTCTGACAATAAAAGATCATCTGTCCTTGAAGGAACTAGAATATAATAAATACTGACATATTCACACTGAGTAGTTTTCACATGGCACTGCTGAAAATACTGTTGTACTTTCAGCCTACTGATCAGAACACACTGAACTGCATTTCTTCAGCCAAATACAGCTAAACCAAGTTAAAATTCATTAAATTAATTTACTGGTGTTGCTGTTGCTACATGAAGTATCCTGGGGTTTGCCATAGGAAGATTTTTCTATATGTATGTGTCTAGTTTTCATTTGTATTGCTTTGTATCTTTCATATCATCCATATTTACTGTTAGATTGAGGAGACTTTTAGATCGCAAGCTGGATTAATGGAAGACTAGTGCCACTGCAGCTATGCAACCTGCAGTAAATCCAGTGTAACTGCTCAGGTGCACATCACATTATTGGGTGTGTTTTGTGTGGTTCGGGCTCTCTGGTTTTTTTCATTTTCTTTTTAATACGACTTGTAAAGCATTTTAGTCCTTAGATTAGGTGAAAAAGAGAAAGTAATTTGGAAAGTTCATATCCCTAATTTTAGTTTTCTTTCTAAATTGACTACCAGATCCGAGAGCAAGTACATGTTTCTCCAACATCGTGAGTGGCCGCTGTGCACAGGAGCTGCCTGGAAGGTTCACCAGAAGGCAGTGCTGCTGTGAGTCTGGCAGATGCTGGGCCTTCGGGTCTGTTCCAGAGATGTGTCCTGTCAGGGGATCTGGTGAGTGGCCTGTTGGTTGGTTTGTTTCGCTTGGTTTGTTTTCTTCTTCTTCATGTCCATTCTAGCTTGTATGGAGGTCACGGGAATGTTTTAAACTGCTTTAAAATGTAGGCTAAATGGAAAAATAAAGTCAGGAATTACATTAGTATTCATTCCTGTGTTTTTAATGCCGATATTACCATCTGTGAACCATTTTTTTTCTGGTCCATGATTGTTTGGAACTCGTTTCTTTAACGTCCTTTTGTTGACTTTGGAAATAGTTCTTGGGAAATGGGAAGATTTTGTGGTCAAGCTCAAAGAGGAAACGACTGAGGGTCCATAGTTAATTTTGACTTGAAGGAACAGCTGCTCCCTTGTTCCTTTACATTTTGGGTTACTTTGAACTAGAAATGCATCAGTATTTCATTTATTCTTTCAACTCTTCTCACAGAGGAATAGTCCACATCCCTAATGAAATGTATTTTCTTCATCAAGATGTCTGAGTGACCAGGGAGTTACAGTGCTGCTGGCAACACATCAACAAAAAGGTTTCAGTAAATAGTTGTAAATTACAGTATTTCTTTTGAGTATTTAGAGTGTCCTTCATTAAGTAACACCTGTCACAATCATGGGATCTGCCTGAGAAGAGGAGTGGGAGAGGGAACACATAACATCAAAGAAACAAGGAGTTGGTGTTCTGGTTTTTGTAGCACACAAAGATCTGTATCTTCCTTATAAGCTGACTTGGAAGGGTTGACTTACTTTATGCTTCTCTGTGCATTCCTGTTTAACAGATGAACACCGCAGACTTTGTGTGGATGGTGCTCCTGCTAGAGGTGGTTCCAGAGTTGGTGGGACAGGAGGAAACGGGTTCAATCCTGGTGGCAATGGCAATGGCAATGGCCCAGGAGGAGCAGGATTCATTCCCATCCCTGGAAGCAATGGTTTCTCCCCAGGTGTAGGCAGAACAGGGGTAGGGACAGGTGGCCAGACTCCCACTGGAAGTGGCCCAATAATTACGGGGCTAAGTAAGTGCATTGTGACTTGTTTCTCTCTTTTTTTACTATCTATTCCTTCTTTTTTTTTTTTTTTTTCTTTTCTATTTCCTGCTTAGGTTTTAGTCTGGATATGATATGGTGTTCTTAACAGTTAAATATGATTTGTCATTCACATTTAAGGCATCTCAGCTGATACATTAGGAAGTTCAGGAGCCCTCTTTTCTGAACAAGTCAGAGAGTTTTTACTTCACTTCAGTTAGAGAGTCCTTGAATCTATGCTGTCCCTGCTGATGTGTCTTTTTCCGCACTAATGAAAGTGTTTTCAAAAACCCAACAGGGTTTAAAATAAAGTATCCTCTGTCCTTTCTCTTCCAAATGTGAAAGCTACTTATTCTGCAGAAATAATGCCTTGACTGAAAGCCCAAGATGAAAAATATTCAGGTAGAGGACTCATAGATGTGTACATAGATGTGCTTATAAGATGTGTTAATATGTATCTGGCATCACAGCCATAAAGTTAATGAAGTGCTAGGAATACTATTAAGACAAGTGCAGCAAAAATAGCGACTGCTTCAGCTTTCACCCAGATTTATGCACCTGAAGTCAAGTATAATCTTCATATTTACTTCCATTTGAAAATACAAACACTTGTCTCCTATTCTGTTTATTTGCATTAGCAATACTCAATCAGACCATAGACATCTGCAAGCACCACACCAACCTTTGTTTAAATGGACGTTGTATACCAACCCTTTCTAGTTACCGATGTGAATGCAACATGGGATACAAGCAGGATGCAAATGGGGATTGCATTGGTGAGTTCACATTTCTCAATTCCATTATTCAGTCTTAAAATACTAATGTTTTTCTGCTTTAAATCCGGGGGGGGGTTAATTTAAAAAGCATAGTAACTTTGATGATGCTGCTCTTTTGAAAGAGAGTGCAAAGCCCATGGTATTAGTTACACTTGAATAATTTCTCCATGAGAGTGATCTGCTTCCTTACCAAAAATTTGTAAATATTGGTATTGAGTATTCCTGTTCCTGTACTTGATGGGTATTGTACGGTTTTGTCACATTCAGGAAAGTAAATTCTGTTCCATGTTCTCCTTTGTTATGCTCACACAGCTCCATTTTTGCCATGGGATTTAGTGTTGTTCTGACCAAGATGATGAAGGGTAGAATTGATGTCTTGCCTCCTCATGAGGATTAATGAGTTAAAGTTTCAAAGTTATCAAATAATTTTAAAATTGCATTAATTAACTTCTTGTTATATTTGCATTTCATAAGAAAGTACAGGACACTAACTTAATAAATGTATAGGATCCTAAACAGAAAGTTCTGGTTACATTTTTGATTGAATACTTACTTACTGAGTCTTTATAAAGCGATCTGAGATCTGTGAATGAAAAATATTGTACAAGACCTTGTAAGCAATAGGCTTTTCTCACTGAATTTGTGGTTTTAGAATCAATTCCTAGTGTGTCTGTGGATTGGAGGAAAATAGAGAAACAAAGGAGGGCAAAAGGTTGCAGCTACATGAAACCTTAAAAAAATTATTCTAGCCCAATACTGGCTCATGGAATCCAAGTGAGAACAGTATAGGCAGATTTTCACGTGCATGCAGCAGAGAGGGTATCAGCCAGAAGCTGAGCTGGGAACATGGCAGTGACACAAAAGAAATAGTTTCATGTCTTTGGCTCCTTTTTGGCTTCTCAGCCTAAATGATCTGGTATTAATGTACTAATTTTCATCTTGAGAGTGGCTTTTGGGATTAATCCAGAATAAGATTTAAACTCTCCAGTTATTGTGAAACGTTCCTCTATCTTTGTGCCCCTTTGTACTTGGGTTGTAGCAGGTAGAGCTATCTGGACTTAAGTCAAACTTTTCTATTTTTCAGTTGTCACTGGGGAAGGACAACCATCTGTAGTTTAAAAGGTCCATCATATTTACACGTCTGGATGCTGAAATCGATGGGCAGAGAAGTAGAATGTGTTCTGAACAGCTGGCTGGCATCCTGTCCCTTTCTCTTCTGTGGGGCCATTTGCCTTGCCATTCCACTTTGACTCTAGGCCTGTGATAATAGTGAACTTGAACCTAATTTTTGGTTTGAGGCTAGAGTGCCTGAAAACTGTGAGCCTCGATTGATAGGTACATCCAAAAAATCATAATTGTTGATCTGTTGAATACTATAACACACAGTTCTGTGCCCAGGAAAAAGGTGTATTCACTTAAGGAACTTGATCTCTACTTTGCAATGCATACCTCAGCATGAAACAGCAGTCTTGAAACTGAGTCAATTCTGGATTGCAGTGGTTCAAATAAAAAATTTCAATTGGTTTAACAAAAGCAGAAGATGCAGTGCCAGTTCCATTAACGTCCTAGGTTGAAAGCAGGGAAAAAGACCCCAAAAATGGCTTCCAGCAAGTTTAAGTGTCATTTTGCCTGTTTTTTTCCTGTGTGAAATGAATCAGTCGTTAGTAATTTCAACTCTTCAGTGGTTTGCCTTTTGAGTAGCTGCTTGTATTCAGAAGACTCTATTAATAACTCTATGAACTCTATAAATAACACAGCTTTGTTTCACTGTTACTTTCTAGTTGTATTATAAAGAAGTAGCAGAGCATCTTTAGTGCCACACTGAACCATTGATTTGTGAATGGTAGTGGCTACAAATCACACAGAAAGTTTTCTTGGAAATATGGGCAGGAACTTAACTGCATGGATTTTCTGTGTGTGCTAACATATAATAAATGAATTTAAAGGCTTGCTTAAAGCTAACTCGGATACTCTTCTCATTGTTAAAAGAACGGTCTTGGGGTGCTGGGAGCTTTTCACTGCATGGGGTTAGGTTGATGGTATATAAATGAACACTGTTTCCATACTGCTCTGTCTCTCTGGCTGCCTACTCCCCAGGCAATAAATTAAGAAACCAGAAATCATTAGATGTTTTTGTATAGAGATAAAGAAAAGTCTTATTTCAAAATTAACCATGCCAAATCAAAAAAATAATGGTGTTACTTACTGCTCTCTGACCTGAGCTTGTGTCATGCTGCTCTCACAGTAAAACATACCTGATGGGTCAAGGACCATAAGTGTTCTCAGTGACCTGACACTGAGTGGTCAGTCCCTTTGCCCAAACCAATAGACAGCTTTAACTTTATTACCTTTCCTTATTTCATTCTGGTTATAATAGCTCTAGAGACTTGAAAAGTGGCAGCAAACCTGCAGCAGTGTTGTGTTGAATATTAGTTGTTTTGTGAATACAAATCTCACTATTCTAAATTTTGTAATATATCTTCAGACTCATTGCAGAAAGTCTTTTAAGGGCATTTGGAAGTTTCATACTGTGCCTGGTAGAGTTCTGACAGTGGTTACAGATGGAAAACTGAGAAGTGGGGATAAGTGTGATGCAAGTGCTGAAAGAGAAATATTTGACTTTGAAGAGGGATGTGCTGAGATACAGGGTTAAATATCTCTGTCTCAGATGTTTCCTGTTTATACTGCTGGAATATGCATGCTTGCAATGCAAACTTGAAGCCAACAACTCCTTTATATTAACATACATTTGCCATTCCCTCAGTTAGCAAGAGCTTATAAAAATAAGAGCATCTGAAGATGCATATTTTATATGGAAATCATGTGATGCACATGACTTTGGA